TATATATATATGTATGCGTGACTTTTTAAGTGACAACATACTTAAGCCCAGCATGTTCTTGTGAACATTTAGTAGGAAACCCCATGGAAAGTTAGACTGGACCACTTATGGTTTGTAACATAGAATAAACAATGTGCGAGGGTTGAGTCAGGAAGATGTGAGGGATGATTTGTATTCTTCTTCTTAATATTATCTCATATCAGTGGTATTTTTCTGCCGGTTGGATGGTTTGTGTAGTTGTCAAATGCAGCTGGTTTGGAATCGATGACCACTCAATGCGCTCTTCAGTTGGAGAATGTTCAGTGGAGCGACAGGTGCAGTGTTAACATTACGTTGGGATAAACAGTCCCTCACACTAAAGCATAGTTATGATTCACTATGTCTATGCATAGTCGACATGGCTTGCATTGATTTGATTCATAGCTCGTCCAAGTAAACAAACTCTTTCACCTAATCCCTTATTAGGTGCTCTGCATTTCTCGTGAACTCTGTCATGCTTATGGCTTGTTTACATCTACCATAACGTGTCCATCGCCATACGTGTGTTTTGATTCCAGCAGGTCCATCAGTAGATGCATTTCTGTCTCCAAGGAGGAGCTAAAATAGGCCGCCAAAGCCCTGCCTGTAACAGTTGTCCGTTTAATTTAGCTTGTAAGTGTCCTGCTTGCTACACCCCAAACACGTGCACTTTGCTCTGGCCTATATTCCACTGCCCCACTAACATTTGCCTGGCACCAACACAGTAAGTTCACGGAACTTGTGTTTCGTCTCTGGTGACGGGGAGGATATCTCACCACTTCTCATTGTTTTGATTCACAGTCAGCTTGTCAGCAGCTGTTTTCGGGACAAAGCACTGAAAGGCTTTTCGATCAGCCCCACTCACGATACATTTAGCCAATAACATCTTTTATAAGCAAATATGTAGACACTTGTAACAGCTCAAGAACTACATTCACAATCTAGTTTGGACTAAACAAAGCTAAATGGTAATTGGTTTTGAATGTACGATGACCGCAAGACTCATGATGCTTCTGAAGTTTCTTAACATTGTTTAAATAACTTTGAAAAACATTTTTGTTCAATTACGTCCTCCAAACCAAAAGGCAGCATCATATTATGTGATACCGCGTAGTAACTGTTTGTAATAATCTGGGAGTGGGGGTGGAGGGCCTACTTTTTTCGTAAGCAAGAACATGCTGACTTTCTTCTACCACAATCCACAAGTAGATTATATTGCAACAGTCACGTGGCGGTGCTGATAAATGAGTTTACTCTGTAGGGTGACGGGGTCTGCTTTACTTCCCCATCATGCCGGCATCTATGGTATGTGACACATTGGGACACTCGCGTCATTCCATTTTCCCCATTGCTGATGAATAACGGCCCTTGGGTACAGACGTATGATAAACTCCATCAATATTAGACGTAGCCATGCGCTGCTTATTCTCTCGCTGCTTATTCTATTGTGATTAACACTGCTACACCACGAGAAAAGACAGGCCTTCAAAAGTAAACGATCCACCAGGTTCAACATAATTCGAAATAGAAATAATGTCACAGTGCTGATATTTTATTATATTATTAATAGTCACATAAGTGTAAAACAAAACTAGTTAATTAGCGTTAATAGTAAGGCGTAAGCTAAAGTACGCGTGGAGACATTAGAGTTGTAGGCCCTTAGTTCACTTAATTTTTGTATATTTGCCTGTCTTTATGTTCTCTTAAAATTCCTTTTGAGGCTGGTTTTGGGAATAGCTGTTACAAAAGAAAGCTACACTAAAAGCAATTTGCCCTCTGACGACCGTATTCTGACCTGTTTGACCTTAGGGGACTGCTTCCAGTGTAGGTGCTTTTCTGGCTTTTTTTTTTTTTTTTAATAAAAGCACTATTCAGAAGGCAAAATTGTGAAGTGCAAAGTAAAAGTTGAATCAGTGACCTATAGATTTACCAGCTACATCATTTTTGGCGGTCAGTCAAGTCTATCCTAAAATCCTTTATCCACTCCTTCAAGTGAGTGTTCAAATGTTCCATGTCATTGGCACCTGGCAGTTTTCTCTTGACAGACAAACAGGAAACCCTGGTGAGAGAAAAGCAAACCAGGAGTTCCTGTAACAACCTCCCAAAGAGTCCCCCATGTGGATAAAGTCCCAGAGACGGCAATACGCGGCGCGTGGAAGCCCAAAGCCGGCCGGGCCTGCTGTCACACTGCCTGCTTTGTTTGCCGTTCTACAGACAAAATACAGACTCGGCCGAAACGTGCACTTCTCTTGATGCCGCCCTCTTGGTTTCATTTACCAAGAGAGCTGATACAGTAAAGGTACATAGCGGGAAGGTAATCATACCCAGCTGTCGTCTGTCACACACGACTGCGCGTCAAGCATCGTGTCTAAAGAATATAATTAAAATGAGCTGTAACAATATCTAGAGTGGAAAACGTCAGTGGCTAATACTTGGTGCTTTGTCCCGGAATTCTGGCTGTTTCTATCACAAGGTAGTAAAGATGAATTATTCCAGTTAAATTTAGCAGAGACTAATATTTTCGTCAGGATTTCCCTACATGGTCGTGCCAGAGGGAACGTGAGACAGTTCTTCGTCAGCCTTGTTTTGGGAGTGCACAGCCAGCAGAGTTTTTCTTACAGTAAAACATTTGAAGTCGTTCTCATAAATGTGCAATCGAGTCATTAGTAAGGTGTTGTTTCTGCCGTGGATCATTTATACCGAGTCTGTTCTTGCCATCGTAAATCCATCGTCATATCTCACTGACCAAAACCTGCGCCGATTGGATGATTCGTTGACTTTGGCAGCTCCGCTTACAGAGCAAAATGGTTCTGCAGGATTTTGGCTGCCTCCTTACCACACGATGCCACCGCAAGGAAACGTTATGGGGGGCCAAGTCTGACCACAATGAAGGAGATTCTCTCGCCATGTTTTCCCCAACTTGCACTGCAGAGGAAACACAAGCGAGTTATCCTATGGAGAGGGAAGACAAAAGGCTGCCATTACTTCATCACTTGGCGGCACTTCCCTGAGACACGGCCGTGACCGTGTTGTCATTTCCCACTTCTCTTCGTTAATGGTTGTTATTTTAGATGTCAACATCATCCTCCGCTTCCTGCGTCAATAGCCAACGTCTGCAGCAAAGTGAACATAAAAATGCATACACGAGACATCTGTTTATATCCAGCCGAGCGAGCTCTTGAAGAATGACTTTAGTATAATTGGCTTTGTGTGTTGCAGCTTTATCTGGGTTGGGCCCATAAATAATGTCTCCAATGACAACAGTTAAGTAGAAGTGGCCAAAGGCGTTTGCGCGGAGTGACGAAATCGGCTGCAGGAAGCATCTGGAGCCTTCTTCCATCACCGGGATGAAAGAGTCTCAAACACAAACACTGCACTTTTTAAGCCGTCCCTCCCCGCTGCTTTCTCTTGCATTTGAGAGCTGTTCGCTGTTAGATTAGCACTTGAAGGCAACTTTCAAAAAATAAGACTCTTCTAGCACCAGAATCATTTTAACGCTTTTGCGCAAGCATCCGCATCCGGCTAGCTTGAACTGATTGCACGAGTCTGGAGATAATAAACTTCCTGTTTATGGATGAAAGTTAATCACCATGTTGGAGGAAACTAATTTTTCAAAGTAAGGAAGTCTTTAGAGGGCTCCTTCTCTAAACAACAACAGAATTATGGCTCGCTCAGTGAATTATTTGACAATGAAACTGCCTGCTTGCATGCAAATGAAAAGGTTTATTTGAAGACAATTATTTAGTTTCCTTTTTTATGAGCTCTCTGAGATACTTGCTGTAGTGGTGACCCGAGTCTATTTGATTACCCGTTGTTAAGAACCCAAACTGCTTCCTTAAAAGGATCTCGTCTGGACTCTGCTTCTTCTTTTTTTTTTTTTTTCCCGATGAGGGTTTTGTTTCGTTTCTTGCACGTGACTCGGCAGTACACTGCCGGGATAAGTGACGGGTTAAAGGTAGTAGACTGATGATGATGATGATAATGACGATTACAATGATGACTGGTAAGTTGGGTTAAGAATTTATGGAATGCAGACGCTGTAAGCACAAACTTTTTTTTTTTTTTTGACCAGCCCACCTCTTAGTTCTGCTACCGTGCTGCTTTGGGGTCATTTCCAGAATTAAATCCCATGTTCCTGAAAATAGACCAGAAGCAAAGTCCTGATCGAAAATAAAACAATGTGAGAGGGTTGAATGAGAAAGCTGTGAGAAAACACATCTGTGTATTTATAGGCGATTGGCAGGCTTTCATATTCAGATGGTACAGAACACAACTGTGGTAACTGGCATTGAATCAAGTAGCTGTTAATGGAACGTAGTAAAAATAACAACGCAGATGATTTTGGTATGTTTGAGCAGTAAGCCTATTCCATCTGCCCATTTCAAGCAGGAACTTCAGGCACCTATCTCTCCTCTCCTCTCCTCTTTTATGAAACCCAGCTGTGGTTTTCACTATCCAAGGGTCAAACGTTGGATGCCTTCTGAATGAGGCTATAAAAGTTGAACTTCATTTGCATTGACCTGAGTGGTGTTTGAAATAAATGGACATGAAGATACATTTGCAAAAATGTAAATGTTGGCTATGTATATCACCTGACTGGAACTGTACCCGGCAGGCCTCTGTTGGCTCAGCTTGGCCAAGTCATCACATGCAAAAACGTGTGTTTCAGTTGTAGCGTGAAATGAATGAAACACTGACTTGAAAGTGCACATTGCAAGTAGTTTTGTAAACTAATATTGTGTTTGCCTGATATTTCAATTGTGAAACAGGATTCTTGCATGACAGTGCACATGGTCTATGTTTCCAGGAGGAAGTATGCATTTGCTCATGAGATGGTATTTCAACACAGCTTCACGGTGTCTCGCAGCGCTCTATTTCACAAAATAATTTCTGTTTTGTGGAAACGAATCCTTATATGGGTGAGATGATGATTTAGATCGACATACTCAAACTGCACAAATAATTCCAAGTAAAACAAAAGCATTGTGAAAGTACATACCTCCAACATTTGTCACAGTGATGACCTCGGACCAGTTTATAAACAGGAACAATCTTATTGTTCCACTCCAGCACTATAGGAGGTGGTCATATGCAAATGTTAAACAATTAAAGAGAAGACATGACCATCTTATTCAAAGAAACGAGTTTCGATGATAACGTGTTCATGGTCATTTTAACATGACCTTGCAAACAAACAAATGCAACCAAATCCTACCATTGCGAGTTGTATTGCCTACTGTATTGAGATTCAGAAATTACCTAAGTTAATAAAACTGCTTCTCGCAAACATAATTTGCCTTGATAAACTGATTTGATAATACATTAAAGAAGCTCACAAATTGACTTTTGCAAAGTGGACAATGTGCAATAACCTCTTCAATGCTCGGTTTGTTTGGATTGTGTCAGGTTCACTCTGCTGTGACGGACAGCAGGTTGTGGAGGTTATCAGGTTAATGCCCGAAGCTGGACAAACATCTCTGCCTCCCTCGGCCACTAACATCAGACAGGCCGAAGGTTTGATTGCGTGTTGGATGTTTGTTGAAGTTTGTCAGAGCATACATCTGGTGTGAGCTGTACTTTCCAATGCCTCTCAAGAGTCCAAAGTCCAAATGCATGTTTTGCTGGCTTGTGAGCTTTTTTTGTAATCCGGGTTGGAATTATGAACGAATTTGTGTAATTTTGCAGACATGATTTTCTTTCTCTTGAACTTTGCAAGGGTTAGGCTAAACCAAACTGTAACCCTCATGTGAAAAATCATCTGCATAGCGCTTTTAAAAGGGTAGTACACCGTCCAGACACAACATTTTCTCCCAAAGGAAGTAGGAAACTGATGTGGTCATAAACTCAAACTTATGTATGTGTAGAATCCGGCCATACGTCATTAAGTGGCAAACAATAAGCGGGATAAGATCATAAACAGTTTGAATTAAACATGTATCCGCCCAGTCGCTCTGTCCTTGAGTCTGACAGAACAGGCCAACTGTCGCATGCAGGCGGCTGCTATTTGCTTTGACATGTGTGTCAATTCATACCAACTGTAGTAGGCCTATGTGGTGGCAAAAAATAAAACCGATAAACAAGAATTATGACTTTGCTTCACTTAGCCACCAATGACTAAGTTTGAGTGGCTAATGAAGTGTATGTGAAATGAGCAAGTAACGTGCTGCACTGTGATCAGACATTTTCTAGTAAGGTAACTGACATAAATGTGTCTTTTCTGTGCATCTGCGATTAGGTCATTTAAGTGGAACGTTTCACATGTTGGCAGGATATCACTTCTCCTCAGAATTGCCCTGTGATTGACTGGTGACCAGTCTAGCACGTAGTCAACTGCGCTGGGTTCCAGCTCGTGCTGTGACCCTGAATATAATGAAATGATGGAGATGGATGGAGGATAGCTGACATGTTTATGCTGTTTTTGGGCAGTACTCACAACTTTTAGTAGTGTATCATTGCCTTGTGTCACTGTAAAATGGTGAAGTGTGAATATGCTTTCACGCTTGACTATTTCCAACTGAATGCTCATGAAAATAACTGCGGCAGTTACATACACACCTACAAAGCTTTATAAATTGAGAGTCGCTCTCCCAAGACAGTGCTTCCCATGACTACTTTAGGCCAAACTTCTCACATCCTCAAGCAAGATTGTGGTTCTTGTGGAGCACACCACTTTTCTTCACATTTCTGTACATTTTGCCATAGCCCAGTATATGCTGGAAGCATTCTTGCCAGTAATGCATGTCTCATCATACACACATGTCACGCTAACGTTTGGACAGGCTGGATTCATTCATCACTTCACTCAAAAGGTTTTTCCATTTGGGCTTAGATTCCCTGGCGTTTAGCCCTCCAATGAAAGGGCTTCAAGCTGCAAGTCATCCAAACGTCTATTGTCCTAATAAGGAGTAGCGCGTGTGTGTGTGTGTGTGTGTGGTGTGTGTGTGTGTGTGTGTGTGTGTGTGTGTGTGTGTGTGTGTGTGTGTGTGTGTGTGTGTGTGTGTGTGTGTGTTTCCCTTGCAAGTTAATAAAACTTCCCATGAGTAGAATCCAGCCATATGCTTTTGAGGGTTTGGCTGAGAGAGTAACTCTTGCGCATTTCAGACGAGCATGAGGCGTTTAAAGATCAGAGCCTTATGCAGCCTGACGTCACTCCTCCCATAGAACCACTGCGGTGGAGCTATGCTCCTAAACCAAAGGGGTGCTGGGTTATGAGAGGGAGGGGGGTTCTTGGTTTGTTACCATTATGTTGATCAGATTAACATGTATCAGAGCTTCTAGGAATACAAAGGTGGTGTTTTGCAAAGATCCAATGAGCGTCATTGATTGAACTCTTTTGAGTGCAAACATACATTATGTTTACGTATGGATGTAGAGTGAGCACATACCAAATACAGTGGCTCTGAGTGTGAACATAAACATCGAGCGTTGGCTCTACCTTTGTTCCACTGTGAGGTGGTGTTGGGGATAAAGGTTTGTGCCACAGCTGTTTTCTTTCATAGCACAACGAATGGCAAGCCTCCTGTGATTTCACTACATTCATACATAATGTAAAGAAAGATTACTGAAAACAAAAACAAAACTCTCGTAACATGAAAAACTGTCATATTTGAGAATTTACAGTTCCAAAGGATAGTTGGAAAGAAAATATTTCCTGCTGGGTTACAGTGTGACTGGAAGCATTAATAAATCATTGGTGGGATGGTGAGAGGGGATTACAGTGACGATGCTGTAATTCTGCCGTTTACACCTCTGCGCGCTGTTGTTGGATGGAAATTGTCGTTTCCCAGCCAATCCTCACAACATCCATCATTTGCATAAAAATCACAGCGTTCTGAGCGCAGTAAGCCCAAGTGCTTCAAATGCGGAAACGGAAATAGACTTGCTGGGGTCCATGCATGACGTTGACTGTTAAACTGCAAGCTCTCCCCTTGTGGATGATGTCGTTGGCCGTGCATGTACCATGGGCACCCCCAATTGTGCATCTGTGCGTGACAATATCCCCCACACCTCTTGCACGAGTGATTGGGGTGATATTAAAATATTTTAAAGATGATAATAATTATAACCCATTCAAGGAATAGATTTAGACAATTACTCATCAGGATTGTCCCATGCTGGTGTTATATTTGTCTGATCATTTCCACCATGCACTTCCACGGAATGCCGAATTTGTCTGTCTGTGCCTCGATCACCACCTCCAGTTAGACCTGCTTTCAGCAAGTCTAATATCAAGTCTAGTTGTTGTAACCAAATTTACAGATGCCACAAGGGACATGGCAGGAACAAGTGTGGCGTCGTTCGTCTAGTAAATTCAGATGAACGGCCACAGAGGCGCAACACGGGCATCGTTCTACCAATGTGGGGCCCAGAGACAGCACCTGGCAAGAAAAAAAATGCACAAACATTTTTATTGTTTTACAATAGTGAATCAGGCTGTCTAACAATCACACTGATGTCATGATGTCAAGATGAAAGCTGTATAAAAAGAGACTTATGACCGTATTAATTATCGCTGCCTATGCTCAACAAGCATTTCTCCCTTAAGCGATAGAAGTGTCTCGCTTCTTCTCTGGCATGTTTGCATGCTGCTGTTTTAGCCAGAGTTTAAACGGTCATCCTGTTGACTGAGGTCAAGTACCATGTCACAGGAGTTGTCAGATGATCCGGCAACAAAATACCCCCTAAATATTCTGACACGCTACACTTCCTGTGCTAAGATGTTTGAGATGTTACATACCATTGTGTCACTATTGAAGCCAATGGTCAGAAGTAGTTCATCTGTCCGGAGGGTTGTGGTTTGAGCCCCTCTCCCTCCTCCCCCCACCAAAATGGCATCTTGTTTTTGGAGGAATGCTCGTCTGCTTCTTGACTACCTGCTTTCAGCAAGTCTAATATCAAGTCTAGTCGTTGTAACCAAATTTACAGATGCCATGAGGGACATGGCAGGAACAACTGTGGCGTCGTTCGTCTAGTAAATTCATCTGAACGGCCAGAGAGGCGCAACACGGGCACCAATCTACCAAACTGGGGCCCAGAGACAGCACCTGGCAAGGAAAAAAAGTGCACAAACATTTTTATTGTATTACAGTAGTGAATCAGGCTGTCTAACAATGGCACTGGTGTCATGATGTCAAGATAAAAGCTGTATAAAAAGACTTATGACCGAATTAATTATCGCTGCCTTTGCTCAACAAGCAATTGTTCCTTAAGCGATGGAAGTGTCTCGCTTCCTCTCTGGAATGTTTGCATGCTGCTGTTTTAGCCAGAGTTTAAATGGTCATCCTGTTGACTGAGGTCAAGTACTATGTCACAGGAGTTGTCAGATGATCCGGCAACAAAATACCCCCTAAATATTCTGACACGCTACGCTTCCTGTGCTAAGATGTTTGAGATGTCACATACCATCGTGTCACTATTGAAGCCAATGGTCAGAAGTAGTTCATCTGTCCGGAGGGTTGTGGTTTGAGCCCCTCTCCCTCCTCCCCCCACCAAAATGGCATCTTGTTTTTGGAGGAATGCTCGTCTGCTTCTTGACTACGTTTGAGGTGCTCTTCAGCAAGGCATCACAGCTTCCTTCTACCTCAGGACCTTCAGTGGTTCCTTCGCTCCTTGCATGCCTCCATGTGCATGATCTAGTCCTCTGTGTCGGGTACAAC